TAGTAAAGTAGTCCACACTGTATATTCCTCAGAAAACAAATGCATGCAAACAGACACTTACAGTACAAATACAAAGTAATGGTAATTATGTTTTAAAAGTTCTGAGTTTGAGAAGCTGACTTAAATCATTTCTAAATTCAGCACCCGCCCAGTGTCCCACACACACATAGCAAAACACAGACACATGTCCTTATCTGCAGCTGCTTCCTCCAAATACAGTTAGACAGATTTGAAAATTAGATGTCTCCAGAGACGCGCAGTTCAGACGGAGCGCTTAACATCACATAGCTACAGCTGCTGTCATCTGCAGTTTTTTCTGACTGGGTCTACAGGAAGTTAGAGTTAACAAACCCTCTCGCATTCACTCATTCACCTTAACCTTTTCCCTGCAGATCTGCACATCTCCACACATCTTGTCAGTGTTGTTGTTGTGCATTGCTGTAGTGAATTACTACATTACCATCTGAACAGGTGAAGTGTCTGAACACAGCAACAGTAAAAATAGCTCTGCTGCCACTGTTATATTAGCTGTAACCATTTATAATGGTGGCTTCTTCAGTTTTCTTAGTTATAAAGTATTTGTTCTGAGGTGCTATCACAAGGAAGTGTGCAATATCAAAAGAAATCAAACGCATGCTTTTTGTTGACAATGTTCAAGCCTCTTTCTCCAAGCACAGATTACGCTGATTATCAAGCCACTGATGAAGCTCAAACAACTGACACCAAAGCGAATACTGTAGCGTTAGAGTCTGTCTTTCATCAAGAGCGCATATCCATGCTTGACCTCTTTCTCAGATTGAATGCTGAAAAAAAAAAAAAACGCAATGCAATTCAACCAACTCATTCATTATGGGCTGTGCCGTGAGTATGAATGTGCTAAGACAGAAATCTAGGTCATTTCTCCATCTTTTCAGTATGCCAGCCAGGTGTAGCGCAAAGAGGATTAGAGGGAAGTAATGCCAACGGGGCTCTCTAAGTCTATCTCTCGTCCTTTCTCCATCTCTCTCTCTCTCTCTCTCTCTCTCAAACCAAACAATCACACTTAAGTGCTCCCTGCTGTCACCTCAAAGAGCATATCCATGAAAAGTAGTCCAGATTTGTAATAAAACATTCATGCATTACCTGCTTCCAATGATGAGTGTGTTTCAAGCCCATTAAACAAGGAATATGTCCTAAATTTCAGTTTTTACATTATGTGAGATCATAAAAGTCAGGGCCAGCAGATTGAGTCAACAGGTATTGTACATGGGTGCTTGAAGTCTCTCCCCTGGGACTGCTCTTAACAAAGAACATTGTTTTAGTAGTAGACTATACTAATATGAGCAGCAGTCCTTACCTCAGCTGGAATAGCTCCTTATGAAGTTCGTAAGAACATGGAGGAATTCAACATGAGTGATGAAACTACAGCATGCCGCAATATACTATATCAGTTTACCAGTTATCTAGCTAGCATATGTTTGCTAATAATATAACAATTACATTTTAAATGTTAATGTTAATGTGTATAATAAAATAAAAAGGGTCTAACTAGATTAGTAACTAATTTATAGTTCTCGAGTCAGCATTAGCCTTCTTGTGAGTTATTTTTTATTTCTTGCTTTGTTCCTTATTAGCTCCTTTGTAACTATTCATGATTTTGTGTACCATATTCCAAAGCATTACCAAATCAAAAAATAAGAGACGAAACATATTTGATAAGGGTGTTCATGTATCCACCAACCAAACATCCATTGTGAGGTGGTGGGTGTGGATTCTGCAAAAACAACATGAGGAAATGACAAAGCTGTCTGGATAATACAACTTAAATTTGGGCTTTAATATTAGATCAGCCAAGTTATTTCAAATGAAATGTCACATTTGAATAAAAATACAGTAAAGAGAATAAGCATGTATCAGTGGATTCAGGTGTTAATTTCGGTGAATACCTAGCTAGCCCCACTGTAGCCACGATTTATGTCTCTCATGTAATGTTAGCTTATGTTAGCCCCATGACTAGCAGGCCCCCCCTACAATGGCAATGATGTTGGTAGGGGTTGTATGCAGTTAATGCAAGATACATTTTTCCTGTAAAAGTTGAACATATTATTGTAATATACTTAAAATTTACAATCTCACCTTTCTGTATCTTTTATAAGCTTCATTCTGTTTTTCTGCCATTTCAACTGGAAGTGGCCATTTGAAAGCCCAAAATATTTCTCCCTTTTAGCATTTTTCAGACCATCTTTTGGGGCTTGCCATCTTGTCCATTTTTTTTTTTCATTCTTTTTCTGAATTGAAGATGTCAGGAGACACTTTTAAATTCAGAGGAATTCATTTTCCTCCATGGCAGCAAATGAGAAGCAGAAAACAACGGTATTTTCAACCAAAACTCACTAGCCTAGCTAACGTTACAAGCCGTTATGCCACTAGGTTAATACTACAAACAACACTCAGTAGGCTAATGTGCGTTTCTCGCTCACTTAATTCAGAGAGACTGACTGTTTCTGGAATAAATGTTAAATTTATGCACTATGCCTTTAACTACTGATTCACTTCACCTTAGGTGGCCAGCTTCCTGTCCCAACACTAGCCTTGACATACAACATCTATCTCTGTAAGCTGTCAAATGGCATTTTCCAAGACTCTCCAGGAATCACAAGCAAGAAAAGGGTCATGTCATGTTGCTAACTGGGTAGCTGGGCTAGCACTAGCATTAGCAAGCTAATTTGCTAGCATGTCAAGAATCTCCCCCACTGAGAAGCTGAGCTAAACAACATTGATGAATGTGCACAATCTATATTTTTAATTTTGATATGGAGACCCAGAGTGTTCAATATTAAATAAGTAAATAAGATATTATGAAATCCAGACAGAATATAGGTTATTTAACCATGAAACTGAGAAATAGTAAATACATATTTAAAACTCATTATTATGAGATATGAGATAACACACATAACATAGCCTGGCTTGTTTTGATTGACTGACAAAGTTTTTGTGATGAAATGTGTCATTATCAAAATAATAATGGGGAAAAAACACATTTTTGTAATTTTGTAATTTTTTTTTAACAAAAACTGCTAGAAAATTAATAAAACTATTTCATGGTTATTATGTCCTTATTTATGAGTATGAGTATGAGGCAAGTACAAGGTCATTGATGCAACAGAAAATAATAATACTGTATGTAATTTATGTATTGTAACTGTTGCAAGTTGCATTTTTGAATGATACTGTAACACCTCTGACACTGATGCAGAAAATGGTATCAGAGGCAGAACCTGCTAATATCTCTCCATCACCACATGCTTGTTGGAGAACGTTAACATTCTAAAATCCTAGCCTGAGTCAGCCCACAGTGGATGCTCAAACTAAAGTGACCTGTGGGAAAAATTAGCGTGATCTATCGGTTCAGTCTAGGACAGCCTGGCCCAGCAAACCCTGAACAGATCAGAGCCTTATTTGTCCAGAGACAGGACACAGCAGGTGAGTGCCTTAGCCTTGGCTCATCCACCAAAAAAGGAACCAAGAAAGCAGTGGAGGACCGCTGAGAGGGGAGCAGTGTGTGGATTAAGACAATCATAAGAGGAGGCATTTGGGCTGGAAGCAGTTGAACCAGAATCCTGGGGCGCAGACTAACTCTGTGAGAAAGTAAAGTCTTTGCTGTAACAAGTAAGTTTCATTGGCTGTGTGTCTTGGTTTTTCTGCAATAACAGAGCCAAGGGGGGAGTTAAAAAAAAACCTTTTGCAATCTGCCATGCTGGATGCTGTGAGAAAGAGAGAGAGATCAAGGACACTGAACAAAGAGGCAGAGAGGTAAGGAGGAAAAAGAGATATTCTTGTGTTCCACTTGTAGTGAGGCAGCAACCTGTTCAGCACTTTGTAGCTTCGAGTAACTTGCTACTCCTTTAGACTGTAGAGTTATACCATCAAAGAGTTTGCCGTGGCCGCTTGAAAACTACTTCCTTTGGTAAATATCAAAACTTACAGAACTAATTAGTTCATTAACCCCAAGGTGTTGTATTTATGCTGCAGGAAGCAAAATTTACACTTTGGTGACTAATTTTGTGGCTTATTGTTGCTTTGGCCCATAAAGTCACATTTACATGCTAAAGATATAGGCTGTTGCTAAAAGAAAAACAATTCTATATTTTTATACTGGCTCAGAAATAAAGACATGATCATGGGTACTCATCTTTACATGTATTTTTTTTCTTTTGAAGATTGTAATTTCACAAGTAGGTGCAATGAGTGACATTAATTAGAAGAATACATGGCGCTTGATACTTGGCATTTAACAGCTATGATGTGTGTAATCTTCCTTTCTTCAGCCACTGGTACAGTGGAAGCATTACACACCCATGCACAGCTTGCACACGCCCTGAAAGAAAGAAATGGGGAATGGGCATGAGAGAGGAATCCAAATTCAAAGTAAGAAAGGCAGCACACAGTTCATCAGCGGTAAAAACGCATTGCTGTATCTCACACAGCAGGTATATGGATTACCTTTTTAATTGGATCTTTGTGTGAGGCAGCCAAAGGCAAAGAAGGACTATTGTAGTCACTGTTGAAAGGAGTATGACTGAGCAGGGAGAGGGCAGGGGACGAGCAAAGGGAGGGTGGTGAGTTTCAATCATTTTTGGTGCGTGCCTCTGGAAACATAAACCCAATTACCACAGAGGCAGAGCATATACGAGTGTTCAATGCATGCACGCACATGCAAACACTCAAAAATACACTCACACCCATGCAAGCACACAAACAAAAGCATGTGTCTGCTCTGAACATCCTCTTTTGCAATCTGAGTACAGTATAGGATATTAGCTCTATCAATGTATGGATTTAGAGGGGATGGTTAAGATTGTCCTCCGTCCCCCTGGTCCCTTTTATCTACTGGATGTCAGAACACCTGTTACACACAACTAGACCTAGTCGAATAAAGAGTCAAGTGGGCTTTGTCTGCCACTTGTAAAACAATCATTTCACATCTCTATTTGTGTCTGTCACAAGCAGGCACAGATAGGCACCACCTCAACATCCTCCTCATGGCAGCAGAGCTCCTCCAGGCCACTGGGGGCAGAATAGAGCAGATGGAACAGAAGATGAGGCAGATGTCAGAGATGCAAATGTCCTCCACCTCCTCTACCTTCAGCTCCTCCATGAGCTCCGCAAAGCTGCGAAAAGTTTCTCAGGGCTTGTTAAAAACCATGGAAGGTAGGAATTATCCACCAAGATCATCTTCTTCCCATCTGCCATGCTCTCTAATGTAACATTTTTTATCATGAGACATGGCATGAAGGAACCTCTGAGTTACATGTACATGTAAATAAGATAACAATTTTCTCACCTGTCCTACTGTGCAGACCATTCTGCTTAAACATTGGAGCACATTGGGGACTAAAATATGTCAGGCTGCCAATTTAAGCTCCTGACCAAATGCATATCAACAATAGTTAATTAATAACATTATTCAGTACTACAGTGCAACAAAAACATACACACAAAGCAAAAACACAAAGTCATAATGATAATATCACATTTGCATGTGAGGCTGTTTTAGTAGAGTTTCGCCTGTATGTCCTTTTTGCTCCCTCAGAGCACACTGGGGTTCAGCGTAAGACCTCAGCTGTGGCAGAGTCCTTCAGCCAGGTACAGAAATCCTCCCAGATCCCCGAGGGAGAGTCTGTCCCAGATTTTGAGGAGAAGCTGCGCCCCATCACTGCCCAAGAGGGTGAGGTGAACCACTGCTTTCATCTCACAGCACCTTGAAATTTCAAGAAACACCATTTGCGTACCCTAATATCTCTCTTCACATTGCGTTATAAACAACTGTGAACCCTTGAGACTATAAGAGAACTATGTGTGAGCTAATTTTAGACCCTTGCCCATAGTTTGCCTAGAAACTCCAGATGACACAAGCTTGAACTCTACTGGGAAGTAAAGGTTTGCTGCTAGGTGTGAACTTTAGAAAACCATTTGTCTCTCTGGGTGAAGGTACTGTAAATCCACTCTGATCAAAGTCCTGACAAAGCACACAGATACTATGATAAAGTTGGTTTAATGCTCATGACGTCCACGGAAGAAAACCTTTGCTGCGTCTACTGAATACTAGTGCCTGTTCTGCATAAACTGCATGCGTTTGATGCTTATTCACCCAGGGTCTACCTGTGAATTATAGATTAAGAGGCTTGTTGAAGATAGCCCATCACAATATGCAGAACACTGCAGAGTGGCCATAGCATTAGCAGTCATGGGTTAATTTTAAACTCACTGGTCTCAAAAGGAAAACAGAAAGGGGCAAAAGAGAGGCCATTGATCTGATGCACACAAAACATTATTCTCACTTTTCCAATTGGATTTAATGTGATGTTTGTTAAAAGTATGCATTCATGTGATATTTCATTCTTAGGTGACAATGCTGTGTTCAAGGCCAAGGTGACAGGGAAGCCCCAGCCCAGTGTTAAATGGGAACGAGCCAGTGGGTGCCCACTCTCTGATGCGACAAAATCGTTCTATGACAACATAAACAATCAGCATATACTCAAGGTTTGCCACTTTAACTACACAGCTCATAGTGTACCTCTGTTATTAAAGGATGTCACTGACAGCGTTTGCCATTGAATACAAGCCCAAGGCTGGGATTAAAGAAAACAATGATCCTGAAACTAAAATGAGGTTTGTGTTGATTCAGATCTACAGTATGAGTCTTGAGTTTTCTGTCATATGTTAAGAAGTTGAATGGTGTTTTGAAATCTGTGTTTTTATTATGTGATTTTAAATAGTATGTAGTTTTGCAGTTTTGTTTGTAGTTTTTTCTGTGTGCTTCGTTGATGGTTGATGACTTAAAAATTCATTGTTTTCAAGACAAATTCAGCACATGTAAACACAGATGCTGTTTTTTACCAAATTAGTTTGTGTTTGGAGCACCAGTATCTACAATCAACTCCACATGAATTTAAATTCACTGTAGATGCATTTACCAGGATGTGACCATAACAGACGACTATAGAGGGCAGCGGCTTTGAACAGCCTGTATCATTAAGCCGAGGGACTCTGCCATCTTGATGCTGTCAACTCAGACAGCACACCATGCATCATGAGGAAAAGTAGCTAGAAAGAAAAAAACTCTCTGATCCTTTTATCTGTAACCACTCTGGAGTGAATTTAGCGCTTTCTCTGTACCAGCCGGGGAGCTTAAGTGAAGCTTAAATAGCTATTATAAAGCAATTAACTTGTGGGTGCTGACATATGCATCTTCCCTTGCCATCTGTTTGTCTGGTGAGGGATGACTGTTAAGTTTAAAATGTTTACTGGGTATGCCCAGCGTGGCACTGCCTCCTTCTGCTCCAAATAAGTACTGCATTGGGATTTAAAGTGACCAGGCGCTGTAATTACAGTGTTTTAAATAGTCTACCAGTAAGCATCATGCAAGCCATTTTGATTCATTTTATGTAATCAGCAATGAATTTCCTACCACTTCAGATCAAAAACTTGGTCCTGGAGGATGCTGATGTCTACAAGTGCATTGCCTCCAACAAACATGGAGAAGCCACCTACTCTATAACCCTCATTGTTACAGAAAGTAAGTCTAGCCATTTCATATAATACATCGTGTGAACCTTCCTTTGTCCTGGTAGTTATTTAGAAGCTTTCAGCTTAGTTTAGGTAGTGTTTTCACTCAGTGCCTCAGGTGATGCTGCTCTGTCTTTGTTTCTAGATCCAGCGTTGGACTTCAAAAAGATGCTGAAGAAACGGTAAGAACACAAGCCTGTTGTCTAATACTAGCCGTGACACTCCCAAAGCCTGTCAAGGTGTGATGGAGCTTTCTCTGATCCACCCCCAGATCCTTGGGTTTTTTATAATTTTTTTTTGTATGCATCCAGAAATATCTACAGGACAGGAAATCTAAAGAGTTCCACTGTGTACCAGTTTTGCTGCAGGGAGTAGAATAAGATGCTTTTGAGCTGTCATCGCGCATATGCATACACTGTCAGACATAAATGGGCACACACACAAGCCTGGCACAAACCTTTGCACGTGCACGTAAACACACATGCACACATGGACTGTTTCCCGTGTGACGTCTCTCTCATTGTGCAGCAGTGTGGAAAAGAGAGAGGAGAAGAGGCCACCTACAGAGGAGGAGATGTTAAAGATCCTGGCTGGAGCTGACAAGAAGGACTACGAGAGGATCTGTGCCGAGCACGGCTTCACCGACTTCAGAGGCATCCTCAAGAAGCTGAAGGAGATGAAGAAGAAAGTGGAGGTGGAGGTGAGCCTATCAAACAGAGAGCTCGTTCACGCACCACAGAATCATCTAAGGAACAGAAGGTTTGGGGTCTGACAACAAACAACTTAAAAATAGAGCAGAATTGAAAAGGAAAAACAAAAGTTTAATGTCGCATAGCAACATTCAAGTCATCTAACGCAAAGACAATACTTTACATTGTCATGTTGTAATTTTTTTAATTGTATTTGGTGTGTTCCTGTCAGTGTTTGATCCTTTAATATTTTGCCAGATGGTACGTGTGCTGAAGCCCCTGGAGGACATCACTGCCAAAGCTGGCACCAACATCGTCTTCGACACCATCCTTGAACTGAAGGATCCAAACATCAGGATGCATTGGTTTCTGGTAAAACTTATGTGTCTGTCGTGTTTCAAAGTTTGCATATATATAGGTTTCTGCTTTACATGAAGCACTTGTGAGTTCCCCACTCATCTTGGCATTTTGTTTACGATTCAGGGTGCTGAGATGCTGCGGATCCAGTACTCTCATGGGAAATACGAAGTGAAACAGATGGGAACTAAGCACATGCTGTGCATTTCGAGCGTGAGCCTCAGTGACATGGGCACCTACACTCTGCAGGTTGCAGACAAGAGACTGTCAGCCAGGCTTAACGTCATAGGCGAGTACAGAACGGGACTTGGAGCCTTCCCACTGCTCATAAGTCAGAGACAATGCCATCACACGCTTGTTTTATATTGTTTAACAGATGGGGATGGAGTTTTATGTCAGCATAATGACCTGCATATGTGCCTGACTTTGTTGTTTCGCTTTTACACTATTATTCATTCCATTTATTGTCAGTTCACTGTCCCGTCTTTCATCTCATCATTCCATCTACAGGACATAAATAGACAAAATGAATGTTTAGTTTTTTGACAGAGATGTCTTTGGCACTTTCTTAGTCATCTTACATTTCTCTAAACACCGACATATCAAAGTGCCAATTGCCAAACATCTGTTGTAGCATACAAATGCAATTTTTTTTTTCCAGATGAACCTTTAAGATTCCTGTCTGATTTCAAGCCCAAAAAAGTGACAGAGCGCCAGACCGCCGTGCTCGAGGTCCAGCTCTCTAAGAGGACAGATGCACCACTCATCTGGAAGGTTTGCATGCGACTCAAATATACACACTGAAGGAATTAAATACACTTGTACACAAGCACATGATATTCCATCTAGGATGAGATTTAAGACTTTGCTCTCGAGGAACATTTCACAGAGTTTTTTGGGTCTAGGTAACTCAGATGAAAGGGATGCACAGATTCAAAAATTCTAGGCAAACATGAACACCGGGGAAATACACATGAGTGAGAAAGAATATGGAAATTGTTTTCCCAGAAGTGTTTGTATTTTGGCAGGTGAAAGGAAAAGAAGTGAAAAGAGATGAGAAGTTCAACGTGTCCCTGTCTGACGATGGTCTGACCTACACCTTGAAGATAAAGGATGTGAAAGTCAGTGACACTGGAGACTACACAGTCAGCATTGGAGACCTCACTGCCACCGTGCCGCTTTTCATTGAGCGTACGAACAAGTATTTTCTACCTTCATAAAAAACTTTTTATGTGTACTTCTTGTTGGTTATGCTTTGTTTTGTTTTGTTTTTCCCATAAGGGCTGTGTCTTCCTGTTTTTTAGTGGAGCTAGTATATCCAAAGGAAACAAACTTCCCCCTTCAGACTCAGTGGAGATGAGTAGTTACTGTCTTTTTTTTACTCCCCTGAGATGAGAGGCTTCGTTTCTTCATAGCTATGCTAAACAACATCATCTTCCCTCTATCGTCCAAATGAAGACGTATGGGTAGCATAATAAATCCTCCCTTCTAGTGCTGAGTTGAAAGTAATCCAACCAAATCCCTCCTCACAACAAGCTCATTTATTACGCCTCTGTCTAACAAGATGCTTACTTGCCCAAGGTGCAAGCTGGGGCATGTAAATATCTTCACAAGGACATGTGGCTGTCCTCTGGGGTTGCAGGAACAGAAGCATAGTAATTGAGGTTGTGTTAATTACAGTTATTCATGAGTTGGCTCTATCTTTCTTGTTCTTTAACTTTAATTCTATAACGAAGGTCTACTGTATGTGTCGGGACTGAATATAAAGAACAAACCTATTAAGTGGGTCCAATATTAGTGATTAATTAATTGTGTATTTTCATTTTAGATTTGTTTAAAACCAGAGTGAAGCAAGCTGGTAGAAGCCAAATAAACGCTAATGTGACCCTCTTCCTTTTCCTTTTATCTAGGGATTCCCATCAAGTTTACCAGCCAGTTAAAGAATGTCCGCGCGCAGGAGAGAGGCATGGCCCGCCTGGAGTGTGAGATGAGCTCCAAGGACGTCCACATTCGCTGGCTGAAGGACAGGTGTGATATCACAGCCAGCCGTCGCTACATCTTCATGCGCGAGGGGAAGAGGGCAGAGGTCATTATCGAGGACTGTGAGCTGACAGATGAGGGAGAGTACTCTGTCATCTGCACTCAGGACAACGACGCACACGAATATGTCACTACTGCCAATCTGACCGTGGATGGTAATGATTTCTGTGTGTCTGGATTTGTTTTTCAGGATCAGCCAACGGGTTTAAGGTCTATCACTGGAACATTATTGACTAATAAATAAGAAACAGTTTTTCTTTGTGTGTTGCCAGAGCGTTTTGCCTCAGTGAAGAGTGGTATGTCAGACACTCAGTGCCCTACAGGCTCCCCTGCAGAGCTGTGTGTTGTTCTTGATGATGAGAAGGTTGACGGAGTGTGGCTGAAAGATGGAGTGGAGGTAAGAGATGATACAAGACGGGATGAAAGTGTGTTAGTTCTGAAATGCATGATGCGGCAAATGTTTGGTCCACTCTCATGCATAGATGTCAAGCAAACACTTAAGTAAGTTTGTTTTTAGCTATGGCTCTAGTTATGGCAATGGCGGACCAGCACTGTGGTCCAGACTGAAATATATCAACAACTATTAGATGGACTAATGGATTTCCATGGAATTTGCTACACAGGTCCATGGTACCCAAAGGATGAATCCTAATGACTTTGTCGATCCCCTGTCCATGAGGCTGACAATTGTGGTTTTGAGTGAAATGTCTATTGGGAGGATTGACATGATATTTGGTGTACACATTCATGTCTCCCAGAGGATGAATTGTAACAACTCTAGTGATACCTTAATTTTGTGTTTCCATCAACATCTAAATTTTAATTTGTCCAATACTACTTGATTGCTGATGACTAAAAATACCTGTAAAATGAATGACATTCCCATCAGCCTATACTTTGTGGTTAGTGCTAATTAGCATGTTAGCATTAAAATATGCTAAAGTAAGATGGTTAGCTTGCTAAGTACATGTGCAGCCTCACAGAGGCGCAAGCCGGACTGCAGATTCTTAATCATGTTAAAGTGATACCCAACCTTAATGGCATAATTTAAAAGCTTGACACGTTAGATTGTCAGTTGCATTTATAGCATTTTTCTATTAGTTTTTTGAAGTTCTATTAAAGTTCTTTTGGATCATTTATTTTTCATTAATACATAATAAATGAGAAGCATTTTGTTTGACTCCTTTGTATTACGTTTGACAGATTTCTGAGCTGAGTGGGGTTCAGGTGGTCAAACAGGGGGCCGTCCACAAGCTGATCTTCTCTGGTGTGACCAATGCCCATGAGGGAAAGTACACCTTCAGAGCCAAGGGGGCTGAGAGCGAGTCTGTACTCACTATTGCTGGTGTGTGTTTGTATTTGATATTTGAGCGTGTTTTCACAGGTGGAGTAGATACTTACTGGAACAAGCTGGAACGAGCTTAAGACACTGTCAATGGAAACAAACAATGTGTTCATATTTAAATCCAGACAGTGTCGTTTTTGATGCTAACACTAGGAGTCATCAAAGTCATTATATTTTCTAACCCCACACACTAAAGCTACCAATCCTATACTGAAAATGAATGAAAACCATGATGCAATTGAAATGAAAGCTGAAATCTATATCCAAAAAATAATATCCCAATCTATATTAATCCTATTTCCCAGACCCTCCAGAAATTGATTCCTCTCTGCTGGACTTGTTGGGGGCCCGACCTGTTACTGTGAAGGCAGGCCAGACAGCCACCATTAAGATCCCCTTCAAAGGCAAACCACCTCCCAAGGTCACCTGGTACAAGGATGGAGTGGAGGTCATGGAGGATGAGAGGACCAAGGTGGAGAGGACAGCTGATGGCACCTCACTGGTGCTCTGCAGGTGGGTGAGCAGAGAAGGGCGTCATCCAGTCAGATATTTTATGATCTTTTCAAAAGCCACACACAAATTAAAACACATACACATTTCTAAATATTTCCTCTCACTTTGTCTGTGTACTAGATGTGTGCGAGAAGACAGTGGTGCAATTATGCTCCGTCTGAAGAGTGACTGTGGCACTGCCGTTGCCAACCTGCACCTCAATGTGATTGGTGGGTGACAATACGTATTTGGTAAAGCAGTTTTCTTTAACAGAGTTTGAAATACTTAACACATGTTTTGCCACATTCCACAGACCATCCAAAGCCTCCTCAAGGGAAAGTGGAGTTCCTCGAGCTGTCGGGAAAGTGTATCAAGATGAAGTGGAAGGCCCCCCGCGACAATGGAGGCAAACAAGTGACCAGCTTTGTGGTTGAACGGCGTGTGGAAGATAAGAAGTCCTGGACCAGGGCTGGTGAAGTAGACAGCAGTACCACCATCTTCAGCGATGACAAAGTGGAGGAGGGCCTGGCATACCAGTATCGCATCAGGGCGTTAACACGGAGGGATTGAGTGACCCTCTCGAGACAGAGGAGGTGCGTGCCGGAGAGCCCGTAGGTGAGAGCTAATTTAAACTAAAAATGATCAATCAAGATCATCTCTTAAAACATCCAGGTGTCTGTGAACACTTTTTCTGTTCAAATCCACCAACTCAGAGCCTCCAGGCGCAGCGTCCCAGCCCCAGGTATCTAACATAACCAAAGACACCATGACCGTGAGCTGGACCTCTCCTGCCCACGACGGGGGAGCCCCAGTTCTAGGCTACATTCTGGAGAGGAGGAAGAAGGGGAGTAATATGTGGTTGCAGGTCAATAAGGAGCTGCTCACAGGTCAGACTTAGGCAGTATTTTAAGCTGTCGTGTCATATCTAGTAAGGATACAGTGTTTTAACATCACATTATTACAAGTCGTTACTCTATACATTAAATCTGTATGTTTTCTGTGTCTGTGTTACTCTTTTCAGATACAAAAATTATGGTGGAAGGGCTGGTGGATGATGTGGAGTATGAGTTCAGAGTCACCAGTGTAAACAGGGCTGGAGCAGGTAGCCCTAGTACCATTTCTAATGCAGTCCTTGCCAAAGACCCAATAAGTGAGTCCTTCATTGCCCCCTTAATTTCCCTTCCTTCCTTCCCTCTCTGCATCCATATTATTTAGACTAGTTACTGTATAACTTACTTATACTTTCCCCTTGTAGGAGCTCCTGGCCTGGTGAGGAACCTGTGTGTGTCTGATTCCACAAACTCCTCCATTTCTCTGAGGTGGATACCTCCAAAGCAGGGAGACGAGCCCTCGGGTTACATCCTAGAGGTTCGCCCTGAAGATGCTAAGGAGTGGATGAAGGCCACCAAGATTCCCATCACTGACACTGCCTTTAATGTGGGAGGACTTCAAGAGCGGATGAAGTACCACTTCCGTATCCGGGCTGTCAATGAAGGAGGGGTGGGGGAGCCCGTTGAGCTTTTAGAGGGTGTACTGGCCATGTCTCCGCCAGGTAATATGCTGCACTCTCCTTTTCTCCTCTGCTTAGTTTTCTCCTTGCTATTTAATTATATAGTTTTTTTTCCTATACAGTGGCACCCAGGTTTGTTCTCCAGGGGAAGCTGAAGAACCAGATGGTGGTCCGAGCCGGAATGGCACTCTGTCTTCACCTCAGCTTCACTGTAAGACTCTGTTGAATTTAGCGATGTTACTTTGAGCCATCATGCACTCCACATGAGTGCTATCGAATGAATTCATACCCCTCAATACCTTCCCTTCTTCACCCTTACAGGCTTCACCTCCCCCAGTGGTAACCTGGTTCAAGGATGGTACCATCACTACGGGACAAGAAGTCATCACCGAGAGCAAGACTCACTCCCAGTTCCTCATTTTCTCCTCTCAGCGTTCTGACTCTGGCCTCTACCGTGTACACCTGAAGAATGACTATGGAGAGGCTCACTATGATGTCAACGTCAGGGTTACAGGTGAGTGATTCTATATGCATCTAGTCTGGTACAGTGGATAGCACTATCGCCTCACAGCAAGAAGGTTGTGGGTTCAAACCCCGGTTGCCCCGGCCTTTCTGTGTGGAGTTTGCATGTTCTCCCTGTGTCCGCGTGGGTTCTCTCCGGCTTCCTCCCACCATCCAAAGACATGCAGGCTAGGTTAATTGGTCTCTCTGAAATTGTCCTTAGGTGTGGTTGTGTGTCTATGTGTGGCCCTGCGATGGACTGGTGACCTGTCCGGGGTGTACCCCACCTTTTGCCCAAAGTCAGCAGGAATTGGCTCCAGCCCCCCCTGCGATGGATGGATTTTTCCCAACAATGTAGTTCCTTTAAGTATATATATCAGAGGTTACATTTCCAAAATCGGCATTCACGGTCTTGTGAAAACTTCCAGGTCATGCAGAATGATATATCAAATCACTGGAGTGTTGGCTTTGGCTTAAATAAAATATTTCTTCTCCTTATCACCCTCCTTCCTCCTCAGACTTTCCCCGACCCCCGGAAAATCTCCGCCTGGAAGAGGAGGTTCCGGGCACAGTGACCCTACTGTGGGATCACACCCCAGACCTGGCCGACGACAATGAGGGAGCACATTACATCATCCTGAAACGTGACACCAGTACTGCCTCCTGGTTCACAGTGGCCGAGTGTGTCTTCAGCAGCAAGTACACCGTCACTGGACTGCTTCCCGGGAGGAAGTACTACTTCAGAGTCATCGCACATAACTCTATCGGAGACAGTGATCCCTTAGACTCGAAGGAACCTCTCATCATCGCCAAGGAGAAAGGTGAGAGGGAAAGAAGTTGTATACTATTCGTCAGCAAATTAATGCTCATTTTCTTGTATTTGTTTCTGTATGCGCATGTCTGCATTTACGGGTATGTGCATCTGTGTCTCAGAGTGCGTCGGCAGCCTTCGGTTGAGGGAATATGCCTCACCACCATGTCAGTTGAAACCCATGTTCCTGCTGCCACTGAAGGACCACGCTGTTCGCAGAGGGCATGACTGCACCATGAGCTGTGCCTATCAGGGCATGCCAACACCACAGGTGTGAAGGATATGTCTAACATTTGTGTGTACCGTCTTTGCTGTTAATATCATCCCCCAGCCCCCTAAAGTAATAATAATATTGGTAATTCCACTGCGTAGGCCTGCTGGTATAAGGGGGATTCGAAGATCTCGGACTCCCCTCGGTTTTGGCAGAGCACAGCCAATGGAGTATGCACCCTGGTCATCCCCACCTGTGGAGCCAAAGATGGCGGTGAATACACACTGATGCTGGAGAACCCTCTGGGGATGGCCAAGTGCTCCTGCAACCTGGTGGTTTTTGGTAGGTTTTGAGAGGGAGGGTGGAATGATGGTTTAATGCAAAAAAAAGTTTATTATGCTTTGCATGATCTAATTCTTGATCTCTTTGAATGTCATGTCTTCCAGATAAGGATGATATGGGTCTGTTGGAGAGCTTGAACAAGCAGGCAAACAAAGAGAAGCTTATTTTTTAAGAAGTCTGCTTGAACTGTTGCCATGACAGATGCACTTCGTTTGGCAATGGCCTTATGCTGCATGTTCTATATAGTTAATAACAATAATCATAGCTGTGGTTACAGTTTATCTATTAGAAATCTATAAATCAGATTTTTAGGTCAAAGTGCTGTTTTTTCCCCTCCATCTTTCAACTCACCGTCCTTGGCTTTGGTAATGCATCAAACTAACACCAGAGGTCAGACTTGCTCCCATCCTTCAGTAGGCATTCAGCCCCTGGAGCAGATTCATGTTTGGTGTGTTGTAGGGGTTTTTACTCATTAGTCAGTTCACTCAACCCAAGAGATTGTTCTTTCTCTCTAAGTGACAAATACTTTACTCTCTATAAAGAAATTTGACTTTCATCTTTTCTCTAGTTTTTTTCCCACCGTACACACGTTTCACAGGTCTTACTGTACCAGGCCAGATGACATGTCAAACAAGTGGAATGGATGGAGTGTGTGTTTGCACACAAAATTCAAAGCAAAACAATTTAATATAGCAGTAATTAGTTCATCATATCCACTCAACCACTTTGGAACCAGAGTTCAAGAGTCTGTCGCTGGTTTGAGTCAAGTGACATGGAGACTGCCAATTATGCTACAAAATCCTACTTCCCTTTGAGGTGTCGGTTAATCTGCATAACACGTGATGTCCTGGGTTTGAATCCAGTCCACTTCTTTTATCTAACATCATCCTCTTCTCACTTCTGTAGTTTTGCCTGGTGTTACTATGGGTGACTGAAAAAAAACACAAATTAAATCTCTAAATGTTTCTCAAACAAAAACAGGAATGATTTTCACCTCAGCTGAGCAAAGAATGCCACCAGAAAGTATTAGGACATTGACACTTGGCTCTGTCAAGCAAATTATTGGATTTGAAATGAAACAATGAGGGTAAGGTGCTGGCTCCCAACTTTGCAGGTATTACCATTCACATTAGACAATCTGAGTAGCAGAAAGTAACTAAAGTTAACAACTTATTAACTTGTTATCATATTTCATATATTTCATATTGAAGTCTATAACTGTTTACAACTCATAGATGTCAGGAGACACTTGCCAGGCCTACACTGCAGCCATTAACACTTCTTGCTTGTTTCGGAGGCTTTTTGCATTCAGTCTGGTTCTCAGCAAGTGAAACACAAACTCAGTTGGAATGAGGCCTAATGATCAACTTGGCATGTCAAGTGGTTGCCTTTAAAAATATATATTTTGCCTTGTTTATATATTTAAGATCACTGTCCTGCTGCAGTGACCTAAGACATAATGTATATAAAGAGCTACAATAACAACATTGTACATTAAATGTAGTTTAAATACAGATTTAACTTGAGCCTTTGAACATGAAAGTGTACTTTAACTTCAATGTGATTTTTCATTTCAAATCCAATGTGTAGAAACAAAAAACATGAAGTGTCCTAATACTTTATGAATGCAGTTTGTGATGGCTTCCTTTAGGTTAAAGAAGCCTGACAACCTCTGTAAAGACATTGCCTTGGAGTGGTATGCTGCTTCTTGAGAGAGGGAGTGTGGTCTGGTAAGGAGCTGCCAAATAGACAGAGAGAGGTTACAACCCCTCTCCATCTTTGACGTCACTGTGCTGGCTCACATAAACTCCATTTCTATAGAGCCACCAAGGGACTGGCAGTGTCAGGTTGCCAGGTTCAAATCAATTAAGCGCCAACAGCCACTAAACAGACGTCATTGGTACCTTCCGACTCCTCACAGCTCAGCTAAGACACAATAAGGTGGAAGTTGATTTGAAGAGAAAGCCTGAATAGCGAAATTTGGTATGTGACAGAAACTAAAGGCCACTATGTAATTTTATGACTACCTAAGAGATATGGGATGAAAACCTAAAGTATTAAAGGATTTTTCAATACATAACTTGAATGGAGCAATACTGTACAGCAATGAGATAATTGTAGGGTCTTTCACCTTTATTACGAGATTCTGCATCATCGTCATTGGATGTCGTAGTGTAAGTGGAAATATATCTCACAGAGTCTTGTTTTATAATGATATACAGATATGGCTCATTTTCTAAAAGGCTGGAGTTCTTTAATGGTAAGACCTTGGCTGTGAATGAATGAGACTCACTTGGAGAGAATTGGCACAGTTCTTATAGGAATAAACTATGAGATGTGGTGTGTGTTTATGTTTAAAATGGGGGAAGAGGGAAAAAAAAACAGACAGAATGAAAGAAGGCATGAGGAAGTATTGGTAGCAGTCTGGATGAGTTTCCACAGGGTTAAAGTTTGCTGAAAGCACATTTTCCACTTTGGACAAAACAATAGCGTGCAGCAGTTACTAGAACTGAGCTCTCTGTTGTCCTCTAGTCCTTTCGGCCTTAATGGCACTTTATCTGCTGAGGGCCATCAGCTTCTGTAGAAACACAAAACACTGAACAGTTATAAATATCAGCTGACATTTTGAATGTGGCACCTGTGATTCTAGGAAACGACAAAATAAACAAAAAAAGGACCAAAGGATGTTAGGTTGAAGTTGCATTGTAATTGCATTTATTTTGCCAATAGATATTCACATTCATAGCAGTTTCACTACAGCAAAGAAACTATTCTCACAAAAGAAATAAATCACAAAATGAAAATCAAGGACAACAAGGTAAAGTGTATCAGAACAAAAGCATAAGAGAAAAAAAACATTTGTTCATAAAATGAAGTCATATGATCCATTATAATGGGCGTTCAATACAAAAGGCAAAAATAAAATTTGGGGCAGCTTTTCTGCAAATAAAAGGATAAATGATAAATAATGTTTTATATATAAAAGGTTTGTAACACTTCAAGAGCAGTTAATGCCTTTTAGAGAAAAATGCTGATTCTCTCCCGCGTTACTTTCTTGTACTTAAACAATCAACATCAAAACAGTGTCTTCTGTTTCTCTTCTCTTAAAGAAAGACACGGAAAGAGGAAAGTAAAACAGGGCATTTACTTTAAAGGATACAGTACACAACAATCCTTTTGTTTTAAACACTATAGCTGCTAGTTTTAAAGAGAGATTGACTGGCCTTACTCCGGGTACAGAAAATTGCAGCACACAATAGATTCAAATTATCATTACAAAGGGAAGATTTGGCCTACTGTCATAAGCTCATACTGATGTTGGAGGCCTGTCAGTCATAAAAACACCTGCGTGTCTAGTGTGCCTTTTCCGTCACTAGATGAGCGTTGACATGGAGGATTCATCTCAAACAACTTGTCATGCATGAGTAAAGATACATAAACTTTACAGCCCTATGGTTTGTTAAGCGCTGTGTGGTAATGGGCACAGCTCATTTACAGCAAAGCTTTCAAATCAAAGATCACGAGAAACAACAGCAAAAAGATAGAAAGCGAAAACTTAAAATCAAAGAAAAGTGCAGATTTATCCTAAGGACCAAGTGGAACCACAGGCCCTCTCTACTACGACAGCTACTGGTTCCAGCTCATTACTGCACCATACTGGCCTCCCACAGCTCTCTCGGTCCCTTTTGTCTGCACGCACAAAGCTCAGAACAACAGGACTGTTGACAGGCTGAGGTAAAGTGATGCGCCTGCTGGCCTGCCATCTGTGGGGGGACAGGATGGCAGCTTAAGGGCCGGATGGAAAGGGAGCCTTCCCCTTTGTGTCATATTTCACCTCCTCACCTAATTCCAGCTACAGTATCGCTCAACAATAACCCCCTTTCTAAGTGGAAGGCCATATGCACTCCTGCACCAACAAGGGGGGACCTCTGTCTCCTGCAAAACAAAAGGTTGTTGGACACATGAGTGGGCTCTAATGCTAACAAGTTCCACTCAGTGAAATGAGTTCAGTTTGCTTTTCTGCTTTTCAGCTTTGGTTATCTGTGCCCAAGCCAAATAAAAACAGAAACCATGGAGGAGAAACAGAGTGAATCACACCTCCAGATAGGTGTAATAACAGGCTACTTACTGACTCAGTATGGTATTTGAGTTTATTTCTTGCTTTACAGGCTACCACTCATCTATCACTCTCAGAGAAGCAACTTCACTTTCCAAAGTCCTGGAGATTTTACAAAGTGTGGGTTGGCCAACAATAAATAATCTCAGAAATACTTCAAACTAAAGCCCGTCTTCTGGCATTTAGCCACCAGGACTGTAGGAAGCTTTATTTGGCAGAAGACAAAGAAAGTAGTTCTTACATAAATTGCCCACATAGCAAAGATGAATAAGACGGCTTGACTAAATCTTGTCGTCCCCTCGTGGTTTTTACTTTAGACTGCATTGTACAATCAGTCATGTTAACCAGCATCTTTCCTTGTACTCCACTAAACCCTGATTTAAAACAGCATGAGCAGACAAATGCATTTCTGCTAGCAAGCCTCTGTGGACGTCTTTCAGCACAAAGGCTTATTAACTGTTGACAGAACACGTTCTGCCGGTGAGGTGGATGAGATGAGAAGAAGGAGACTACTGCAGAGTTGGACTTTGCAGCAATGCTGGGAGGACAATTTAAAACATGGGACAGGGGGTTGGTCACGGAGTGGTCACACAGATGGACTGATAAAACACTTCTCACTGACAAAGCAGAAATATTGTGCTGACAGGCCAAAAGAGACTGAGTAACTATCGGGCAAAGCAGCAGTCAGGAACAGACGCATGGGCTTGAGTGTCTTTCCTGGTCAAACGAAGACTGTGTGCTGCTGTTGATGTATAAAAAACCTTGATGAGTGTCAACACCATGGTCTGCCTGCAGATCTGTCATGGTGGCTGAAAAAACATTTTGATGTTGATTATTTGTCTGGGTTTTTTTGTGCGTATGTGGGTGTGTTACTGACAGCTCCAGGGGTCATTGACCCAGAAGAAGGTTTATTTCTTTTCCATGGCAATTTGTTGATTATACAGCACAATATATCATGTTAAGGTGCATGTGGACTGAACCATTAAAAAACAAAGCCTGTCCCTTTGCTATTTTTTGTTAGTCATTAATACTTTCAATTGCTAGTGTACATTTGTTTTAACATTGTTTTTCTTTACAGTATACAAACTTAGTGGTATTAATCAAAGCCAGTGACATATACTTGTTATAAGTAGGGGTATAGTCAAGCGGAGACATGTCTCCCTATGGAAATGCTTACTACTAAGTTCAAATTAAGCTTAAATAATGGATATACCCCACGGTTAATATACTGTCCCCAGTCAAATTCTACCTTAAATTCATCCTTAACTGACAACATGTTCAGGGAGATGCTATAAAACACATAAAGGGGTTACAAATTTCAAGAGGTGAAGGCTATGAAGACAGCTAGAGAGCCTTTTCAGAATACATTAAAGATATCCAGCAGGTATCCACATAAACTACGATGGTTCACAGCATTTCTGGCCTTGAGTTGGTTCTGA